CTGTCAGACCAGCAGCCACCTGTTACCCCTGAAGCTGTGCGGAGGACAGCCCTGCCACCTCGGGTGTACTGGGCTTCCTTCTCGGATGTGTTTAGTCTTGCTCAGCAGGGCACCTTGGGGCTGGGGCCCAGGATCTGGAGTCAGGCCGGCGCCTTGCCACTCTCTCGGTGGCGCTCAGTTCCCTGGCTGTCACACAGGGCAAAGGGGGAAGCCAGCGTGGAAGCACTGCCAGGCTCCCCACGGGATCCTGCATGTTGGCACCTCTTCTCTCCTCCATCTCCTCTGCCACCAGCACCGCCTGCCCAGAGAGCTGCCGTGGTCCCCTCATGCTCCCTCTCACTGCCCCCCGTCTGTGCCCCACACAGCAGCTGCTGACTTAAAACAGAACTCGATCCCCTCACCCCTGCGTAAACCCATCAGTGACTTCCCGTGTTAAGATGTAAATCCCTCACACAGCGGGACATGCAGTCCCCTGTGGTCTGGGCCTGTCCTCCCTCCTGTCCTCGTCCCCTCCATTCCCCTCTCTCGGATTCAGCTCCAGTGCACCTGCTGGGCCTTCTGAAGACACCCAGGCTCCCTCCTGCTCGGGGCCGTTGCCACGCTCCTCATCCACCCAGGTTCCTTCGCTCCCAGCACTTTGCAGGCTGCCCCTCTCCCTCCATTTCATTTCACAGCCATGTGCCAAGTGCCTGTTCTGGGTGCTGGGGATAGTCCGTGTTCCAGGGACATCTGTCAAGTCCTGGCTTACATGACACCCCCTTGGAGAGGCTTTTCCAGACCACCCACCCTCTGGGAAGGGGCTTCCCGCTCCAGTTCCCGCCTTGGAAACTTCACACACTTACACCTTCTCCATTGGGCTCAGAGCTCCGTGGGGCTGGCTTCCTCCCGCAGCCCCTGAGTGCCCAGAACCAGGCCGGGTGCGCAGACGGCCTTCAGGGAGTACTGCTGGCTGGCTGGTGGGGCGGATGCTCACAGCCACCCCTCGATGTACTCACTCAATACCAGGCACTGCCCTAAGCGCTAATGTCTGGTGTTGCATTTCACCCTTACACTGCCCTCTGGTCCCTGCTCCATGTGACAGCCAGCTGAGACACAGGAAAGTTAAATCACCTGTCCAGTGGTGCCTCCAGGAGGGACAGAACTAAGATTCACGCCAGGCCATCCAGCTCCGGCAGCTGTGCACTCAGCCCCTGGACGATGCCCAGTGTGTGTGGGAGGCAGATAGAGGCTGGAGAAGCAAGGCCACTTGGGGCCCCTCATGGCCAGCTTGCAGAGCAGAGCCGAGCTCCGGGCCTCAGCTCCCGGCTCCCAGGCCTGTGCCACGCTCAGCCTGGGGCTGCATGAGGGAGTGCGGCTCCCTCAAATGTGCCTTCCTGGCCTCTGAGCCCAGGGGAAGGATAAGAAGGCTCCCGGAAGTTCCTCTGAAGGGAGAAGTGCTTTGGGGTGGCAGGGGCACCTGGGTCCCTGGGCCTCTGCTTTGGGCCACGTAACTGGGCACGCGTCAGCCTCTCTGTCTCGGTCTCCTCCTTTGTCAAAGGAGGTGAATAACTGCCTACTTCACAGGGTTGTCAGGGGGCCTCATGGGTTACCTCCCCTAAAGTGTCTGGGTACTTCACATGAGGTAAACTGTCCTCTTAGGAAATTTTCAATGTTGGGTGTAAGACCGTGGGTTAGAGAAACAGAGCGCCCCTGCCAGTGGCAGGCTTGTGCTTCCATTCAGTGGCAGGGTCCACTCTTGGGGGGCAGTTTTCCTCCGCTCAGCCCCTGGGCTGCGGCACAGTGTCCCCTTCTCCCTGAGCCCTCGGGAGCGCACCCTGCCTCGTCCCTCTGGGCCTCGTCTGGGAAGGAAGCAGCAGCTTTCATTAGGGACTGGTGGCAGGTGCTAGGAGCCAGGTGGCTCCACCGAGGCCTGGCTGTGTGGCCTGCACAGGTGACGGCCCTTCAGTTCCCACTGAAGGGACACGCCCAGCCCTCCTCCAGTGCTCTTAAGGAGGCGGAATAAGGTGGTGTCTGTGGCACTGTTACTGTTCTCTTGTGTCTCTTTGGGGGAAGGAGATTGGTTCCCCTGGGGGCTCCGCTTTGAGGTGTGGAAGACGAGTCTTCCCCAGCTCTGGGTGGGAGCTCCCCTCTGCCCCAGACACCATGTTGCAAACCCTTAAGGAGTATCCTGGACCAAGGCCCTTGCTTTTTCTCTGAATTCTGAGTGCTGCAAGCATGCAACCTCAGTCCAGTTGGAGCAGAGTTGGGAACTTGTATGGCCTGGGGAGGGCCCCAGTTACCCTGTCCAGCCTCCTGCATCCTGCTGAGTTTGGCAGGTCCCTGTGCAACTGGGTGCCTGAGTCAAGGTGGATGGGTGAGCCGAGGCCCCATGCAGTGTTGCTAACATCTTCCTCGAGTTGAGCACTTTCTATGGAATCAGTGCTTTGCACACGTCCGCTTGTCAGTGTCTCAGTGTCCCCAGCCCACCGCGGAGGGTGGCAGACTGAGAGGAGTGAGCGTGCCCAGGTGGCAGAGGTGCCATCTGAGCTCCAGCTGCTGTGGGCCCGGAGCCCGTGCTTCTGGTCAGAAACTGCGTCCAAGAGGCTGCTGCAGAGGAGCCCCTGGGAGCTGCCTCCAGAGGTCCTGCAGTGTGGACGCACCATCGCTGACTTGTCCAGGGTGCCGCTGAGGGCTGCCCGTGTCCCCCTTGTGCGTGAGGACGAGAGCACTCTGGGCATCTCAGCCTGCAGCTTGCTGTTTCGCGTGTGACAGTCTCTGTGTGAGACACATGCGTGATTTCCTTTGTAGTATGCCGGTGTCTCAGTAGATTGGTGATGTCTTTTAATCCATGGTTTTGTACCCACCGTCAGCATTTTTAAATTTCTAAGAGGACAGTTACAATTTGACAGAGTAAATCAAATGTGTCCCCACTCCCATTTTTAGAATTACAGGCTTGTTACTGTAGGCACAGGGATGTATATTGTGAGTGGGTCCAAAGAGGGCACAGGGTAGAACAGTTGAGAAATGCCTGCCTGAGGCACTGGGTCGGAGAAGAGAAGCCAGTGCCACTCCGCACGGGTGTGCCCTGGGCCTCAGCAGGCTCCGCTGGGTGTGCACCAGCCTCGGTGTGGGTTGTCCGGGTGTGCGCGGGCCCGGGTGCTCTCCCACCTGTGGTGCAGGCGGAGGGGTGAGTGCGTGTGTGAGAGAGGACAGGGCATTAGACCGTCCTTTGCCCCGGGGCCCCGGTCCTCTCCCTGGAGGCCTCCAGGGCCCTGGGTCAGGACCATCATTTTCAGAGCTGTCTGTGCTTCTGCGAGTGTCTGTGCGTCAGTCCCTTTAGTTTCTGACTAATAGTGTGATGGCACACGCTCTGTTCTGCCGTCCTGTTTCACGTAGGGTGTCTCGGGTCACTCCCAGTCTGCACCCTCTCGACCTTGCGGCGCCCTGCGAGCGCGGTACTGCTGCCGTGTTTCCTCGAGTCCAGGGTGCTGTCACCTGAAGACACGCCGCCGGTTTATATAATATTAGGAAAAAGCAGGGCCCAGTTAAATCAGGGCGTGTGTCGTGGGCCGGGTGGGGTTTAGAAGTGTGCTGGACCCTTGAGCAACGTAGGTTGGAGCTGCAGGGGTCCACATGTACGTGGGATTTTTTTCCAATAAATACTGTAAATTTGCTTTATCTTCTTTCTGATTTTCTTCATAACGTTTTCTTTTCTCTGGTTTACTTCATGGTAAGAGTATAGTATATAATATCTATAGCAACCAGAATAGGATTTAATTGACTGTTATCAGTAAGGCCTCTGGTCAGTACTAGGTTATTAGTGGTTGACTTTTGGGGGAGTTCAAAGTTAAATACATGGATTTCAACTGTGCAGGGGGTCAGCACTCTTCACACCTGCATTGGTTCACGGTCAGCGGTAGTGCTGTGTGGTGTGTGTGGAAACAGAGGCTCAAGGTGTGCAGCACAGAAGGCTGCCTGGGCTCCGCCTCGGAACCTCAGCCCGGCCACTGCTCCGTACGTGACCTTGGGCAGGGGCCTCAGGAGTGCAGAACAGTTCACACCTGCTGCCTGGGCCTGGAGGGGGATTCTGGAAGATTCTGTGCTCATTGGGGCTTGTTTAAACCACAGTGATTTTGGAGGTTGCCTGCTTACACTCTGAATTTTCTTATTCCTAGCAAATGTTTTCTTTTTTCCACTGTTCATGCGGCTGTTTTATAGACATAAAGTCCAAGTGTGTTCACCAGATAGTGTGTTGGACCCCCTAAAACACTGCGGGGTGGGCCAAAGTGGGGATATGGGCAGTTCCAATCATCCAGTCTCATGTTTTCTTCTTCTTGGTCTCTGGTTGCTTTTACTTATTTTTCTCTCTCTCCAGACAGAACAGTTTGCAGGTATCAGAAGCAAATGCTTCCCCAGTGAATTTTAAGTCATGAGTGACAGACTAATTTGTAGTTCCTAAACCAGACTTCTTTTCCTGGGACCTGCTTCCCTGCCTGCCACCTTCTCCTCCCCCCCCCCCCGGAGCCCTGTCCCTGAGCTTCCTCCCAGCACACAGCCCCTCTAGGCAGTCACGTCTGCGGCTCTTGCCTTTTGAGATCTTCAGCTATTTCGGCTAATGAATGCTTCCTTTTACTCTGGGTTTTCTTTAACAAAACGTTGGTCACTCGTACACTTGAGCTTGTTGTTTGTTCTGGAGGAATTCAGAGGAGCCCCGTGTCTCCCTCATTCAAGGCTCAAGGTGGCAGCTGATTTTCAAGGAGCTGAGAAGAAAGGTGGTCTCTCCGCTTTGATCATGTAATCGCTGCCTGACTTCAAGTGGCCCCTCCTGGGCCATAGACGGTCTCTGTCCTTATTCCACTCTCGCCCCCTCCCACGCGGGGGCCTGTAAAATTTCAGTTTAGTCCTGTCAGCTCTCCCCAGCACAGACATCTACAAGAGTGCCCAGAGTTTTTGCAGGGGACGGGGCTCAGCCCTTCCTGCCCAGGTCTCATGGCTCTCCTGACCTCTCCCCACACAGGGAGGAGTGGATGCAGGCCATCCAGATGGTCGCCAACAGTCTCAAGCAGCGTGGTCTCGGCGAGGACCCCATGGACTACAAGTGTGGCTCCCCTAGTGACTCCTCCGCGGCTGAGGAGATGGAAGTGTCCGTCAACAAGGCGCGGGCCAAGGTGGTGAGTGCTCCGGGAGTGCGGGTGGCCCTGCTGCCCTGGTTTTGCGTGGAGAGTGTGCTTTGCCCAACCCTGCCCGCCCGCCCGTGGCGTGGGGGCGCTCAGTGCGGAAGCCCCAGGCGCCCTCTTTGCCCAGCTCCTCCTGTGAGGTCGGCAGCATCCGTCCACCCCCACGTCGGAGCCCTCCCAGGGCCTCATGTCCGGGAGAGCCTTGGTCTGAAGGCCACTGCAGACCCGGCGGTTGCTGCCTGGAGCCTCTCTTCCTGCTCCTACCGGAGCACTTTGGCAACAGTGTCCTTTGATTTTCCTTTTTCTTTGTGAAAATGTTCTCCCACTGGCCATGCGCCAAGCTGCGCTGATGGCTCTGCTCCCCCCACCCTGGCAGACCATGAATGACTTCGACTATCTCAAGCTCCTCGGCAAGGGCACCTTTGGCAAAGTCATCCTGGTGCGGGAGAAGGCCACCGGCCGCTACTACGCCATGAAGATCCTGCGGAAGGAGGTGATCATCGCCAAGGTGGGTGCCGCCCGGGCTGGGTGGCCTCGGGGAGGCGGGGGCCCCGCGTGGGGCCGGGACACGTAAGTGCACCTTCCACAGCACCATCCCGTTTCCCCACCGGCCCATAGCAAACTTCTAACATATACAAAAATTTTAAAAGAAAAATAAATATAATGGACGCCCGTGTAGCCGTCATCCAGCATCAGCGGTTATCAGCATTCGGTTAGTTTTGTTTCGTCGGCACCGCTCTGCCCTTTTCCTCTGGGTGGAGCACTGTGAGGCAGTGTAGACAGTGCACAGTTCAGTATCCATGTAGGCTGGGGCAGGTATTTCAGTAAGTGAAGGTTTTAAAGATGGTGATTGTGGTATTGTGATTATTCTCAGCAAAGTGAACGGTCCCAGTGTCACTGGTCCAAAGCAGGGTTTCTGGGCCTCAGCACCGTGGACACTCGGGCCAGATGGCTGTGCTGCGGGGGTGCTGTGCACCGGTAGGGCGTGTGCTGCCCGTCCGCCTCCCCCCACTTCTCCTCTGAGCCGTGACCGTCAGAAATGTCTTCAGACCTTATTACCACACACCCTCGGGGATGGGCTCACCCAGGGGGAGAGCCCGAGTCTAGGCCTGCAGGTGGTGCAGGGTGGTCAGCACCTCTCGGACGACCGCAGTGCTCCGGGTTTCCAGGCGACGCTGACGCCGTCCATGTGGGAACCAGACACTGAGCTGCTGCTCCCCGTCTTGGAACCTGGCTCTAGAGTCAGTTGCTTCTTCCAGCAAGAACATTTGTGGGTGGTGATTCCCACCGCCTTCGGCATCACCTCAGCGCTCCTGATGTCTGCTAGTTCCCTCTTAGGGATGTTAAAGCTGCCCTGTGGCCTTGGGAGGTGACAGCCTGATCTCGTCATCATAAATCACCTTTTCCCCTTGTGGTTTTGAGAGCAAGCCACGGAGCATCCTTGCTTGGGTCCTCGTTTCAGTGGGGTTTGTGGGCGGCGAGGTGCCATTCCTGCCGTTCCCTCCCTCTGCACATCTGCTAGGAATGGAATTGCCTTGCACCGGTTGTCCCACCTTTAGGTGGCGGGGCAGGTGTGCTGTCACCCACTAGCCCCTCCCCTGGCCTCTGTCTGCAGGATGAAGTCGCCCACACAGTCACCGAGAGCCGGGTCCTCCAGAACACCAGGCACCCGTTCCTCACCGTGAGTGCCGTTCCCCTCAGCCTGTGCGCCGTGGGGCCTCCTCCAGACCAGTCACTTTGGCCGGAGCTCAGGGAGTGAGCCCGGCCTGCTACTGGGAAGCAGAGACTTAGTGTCGGCCCGAGGGCTGGGGCCGGGTGTTGCCGGGCTCCCCAGGTGGCCTGAACTTCTTCATAGACAGTGGCTTCATGTAAACCCCTCCGCTGACCAACAAAACGACATTACAGTGTGGCCCAGGAGAGCGTGGCCGCTGTCGTGACGAGTTTGAGGCATTTAATGCAGCTGGACAAAGTGGGAATATTAGTTCCTGTTCTTATGTTGGCAGTGCAGCCCTAGAAGCAGATGTGTCACCGTGCTGCCTGTCAGCGCAGACGGAGCAGACCCCCCTTCGGGCTGTGGCCGTCAGTCACGGTGCAGGCTCAGGATGGCTTAGGGGTTGTTTCTTCAGCTCAGCGGCTGTCCAGGGGCTCTGTTAATAAGGCAGCGCACTCGTTCCCGTGAAGTCTTGCAAGGCACTTCCAGGTGGGAGACAGAGCACTGGAGCTGCCGAGGGCAGAGGGTCAGCGCAGGGCTCTGAGGAGGCCTCTGGGGGGCTCCCGGGAGCGCAGCTGGGAGCTGCTCCGCGTCGGCAGACCGCTGGCCACGCTGTCTTTGGGTCAGCTCCAGCTCCCCGCCAGCAGACCTCGAGTGTGCGTGTGCACGTGTGCGTGTGGGTGTGTGCATGTGGGTGTGCACGCGCACGTATCTGCGGGAGTTGAATGTGTTCGACTGCACAACAGGAAGAGGAAGAGATGCGAAACGGTGCTGGCTGCTCAGAACTTAGTCTCTCCCCCAACTGTGCTTCCTGGAGACTTAGTGGCAGGCAGAGGACACCATGCTCAGGGCACTGACCTGCTCCCAGCCCGGGGAGCCGAGCCCACTCACACACCCCGAAAGGTTAAGCTGAGGTTTGAACCCTGGCTGCCAGGTTCCCACGGTCGGGCCAGGGTGGGGAACGTCCAGGCAGAATCAGCAGTGCCCAGGCCACTTCCTTCCCCGCAGGCGCTGAAGTACGCCTTCCAGACCCACGACCGCCTGTGCTTTGTGATGGAGTACGCCAATGGTGGGGAGGTGAGTCACACTGCCCCCCGCCTGGCTTTCAGGGGCAGTGAGGTGCCCAAGTTCACATAGCTAGTGAGTGGTGGGCAGGCACAAACTGAGGCCGAGTGAGGTGTGGAGAGGGCTCTGAGGGCGGTTGGACGGCAGAGCTGCAGAGGACGCTGTCGGCGGATGGCCTGCAATGAAAGCATGTGCGGGTCAGGAGCTGCCAGTGCGCCGCTCTCCCCGCGTCCTCCCGACACGGAGCCGTCAGCTGCTCGGTGGCCCCCGCTCTGCATTCTCCGTCACGCAGATGCGATTCACGGGCTGGTGATCGTGGGCTTCGTCTGTCCCGTTTGGTCTCACAGCTCTTGTCACTCGCTCGTGACTTGTGCTCCTCTGCTTCCTGCCGTCACCCCCTCATTCACTGCCCGTCCCGCCACCCCCTTTCACTCTCCCGCCTGGTGCCTGCCGTCAGTCTCCTGCACTAACTCTTCTCAGTTGGTCTTTCGCTGTCACTTGCTGATTCATGGAGTGGGTGTGATGCGGTCACGGGGCTGCCAGGCAGGGTCTGTCTTCCCTGCTCTGGGCCAGGAGTCTGATGACCCTCCTTCCCTTGGCCGGCAGCTGTTCTTCCACCTGTCCCGGGAGCGTGTCTTCACGGAGGAGAGGGCCCGCTTCTATGGTGCGGAGATCGTCTCAGCCCTGGAGTACCTGCACTCGAGGGACGTGGTGTACCGTGACATCAAGGTGAGTGCGCCGCCGCCTCCTGGCGAGGGTCCAGGCTGGGCCCTCGGAGAGGGTTTGTTCACGTGAGGCTATGCCCAGCGTCCTGTGGGACGCAGACCCTCCTGCTCCGGCCCCAGGTGGTTCCTCAGCAAGCAGCCCTGTGTGAGGTCCCTTCCGAGCCTCCTGTGAGCGAGCTCTCCCGTGCTGCCAGAGGGTACAGTGGGCACAGGCACATTAGAAGACACTTTGCAGGATCCACCAACACTGGCCATGTGCGTACACAGCAAGGCAGCCTCTATGCCCTAGGCGTGTGCACCCGGGAATATGGACACACACTCCTAGCAGCACTGTCCACGCTAACCCCAGACTGGGAGCAACCCAAGTGTCTGCTGTCAGAGAGTAGTTAAAACCCACGCAGTGTGTTCACACACTGGGACTCTGCACAGCCGTTAAAGAGAACGGACTCCAGGCTTACGCAGCAGCGTGGGTGCATCTTACAGGCTGATGTTGAGACAAAAAGCCACAGGCAGGACAAACCTGTAGTGTTTACAGGTGTATGTGTGTATAGTGGGGAACTGCAAAAAAGAGCAAGAAAGTAAAGTTACTTCTCTGTCTGGAGCAGGGGGTGGGGGGCGTAGTTAATAACAGGGAAAGGGCACCTGGGGGATCTAAGGGCCTGAAAATGTTCTGCCTTGACCTGGGGGAGGTTTATACAGAGGCTCCCTAAATAGTCCACTGGTGTGAAGTTTGGGAAAAGGTAAGAGAAAGAAATAATAGCCCTCATGTCCAAAGTTGAAAACTGCAGCCCACGGCGGGAGGCAGGCTGGGGCAGGACCAGGCACTGTCTCTCTCGCCCTTTTCTCCAGCTTCCCCAGGCGGCCGGGGCCTGGGGAAGTGTGCAGCCTTAGGGAGTGAGGGCTGCAGTGTGTGCTGGGTGTGCCCCTGGCCTCGTCAGGAGCCCCTGGTCCGACAGCTGCCGTCGCAGGCCACAGGCCCCTCCAGGACAGGGCCGGCTGCCGTCGGGGTGGCAGGAAGCCCCAGGAGGGCGGGTTCCTGATACACCGACTTTTCCTGCAGCTGGAAAACCTCATGCTGGACAAAGACGGCCACATCAAGATCACCGACTTCGGCCTGTGCAAAGAGGGCATCAGTGACGGGGCCACCATGAAAACCTTCTGTGGGACCCCCGAGTATCTGGCACCCGAGGTGTCTGGGGCTGGGACACCGAGGGAGGCAGGGCCCTGGGACTGTGGGCTTCCCCGGCCCAGACTCTCCGAGGACCAGGCTCCAGTTCCTTAGCTCGCCCTCCCCAGTCCCGGGGGGGCCTCGTCCCCACCGGGCCTGGCAGCCTGGGCCCTGGGGTGTGGGCCTGGCCCCTCATTGCCCCTCCCCGCCAGGTGCTGGAGGACAACGACTATGGCCGAGCCGTGGACTGGTGGGGGCTGGGCGTGGTCATGTACGAGATGATGTGCGGCCGGCTGCCCTTCTACAACCAGGACCACGAGCGCCTCTTCGAGCTCATCCTCATGGAGGAGATCCGCTTCCCGCGTACTCTCAGCCCCGAGGCCAAGTCCTTGCTTGCTGGGCTGCTTAAGAAGGACCCCAAGCAGAGGTGAGAGCTGGCACTTGTGCTGCCTTGTGCTGCCTGCTGCCACTGTCCCTGCGGCTCGGAGGAGCAGTGTCCATGGGCACTCCTGCTGGTGGACATAGTGTACGGTCCCCACACGGCTTCTGAGAGTGCCCACAGTTGGCGCTTAGGGAGTGCTCCCTGGGGGCCAGGCCTGTCCTTCGTTCTCTGCCCATACTGCCTTGCTTAACGGGGACACTGAGGAATAGGGCAGCCCTGTCCTGGCCTGGGGTGGCACAGTCGTCTGTGGCAGAGCCTGGATGTGAGGTGGCTGTCGGCCCTCTCAGTTTACACTGTGGGCTGGGGGCCAGGCGGCGGGCTCCCAGCCCTGACCCTGGGCGCCGAGTTCCCTCTCTGCCTCACTCTCCTCTGCGAGGTGTTGGTCTGTGGCCAGGACAGGGTAAGAAAGGTTGTTCAGGGCCTGCACTGAGAGTGTCTCCCGAACCGGCTGGCCCGGGAGGCGAGTGCTCACGCCCGTCTCTGCCCAGGCTCGGCGGGGGGCCCAGTGATGCCAAGGAGGTCATGGAGCACAGGTTCTTCCTCAACATCAACTGGCAGGACGTGGTACAGAAGAAGGTGAGAGCCACCACCCACCTGCTCCCAGCAGGAGCCTGGCCCTTGGTGGTGACCTTGGCCAAAGCCTCGTGTTCTCAGGGTCCTGAGCCTGGCTTCCTCTCCTCCACAGCTCCCGCCGCCCTTCAAACCTCAGGTCACGTCTGAGGTCGACACGAGGTACTTCGACGACGAGTTCACCGCCCAGTCCATCACCATCACACCCCCGGACCGCTGTGAGTGTCTGAGGCGTGAACCCCGTGGCCTGGCGGGCGTGGAGGGGTCTGCCCCTGACCCTTAAGCTCACAGGGGCTTTTGCTATCAGTCATCTGTGGACCCAGTGACAGTCACCAAAAGCCATTGGGTACAGCACAGTCCAGTGCCACAGACAGAAGTCTGGGCAGGAGATGCCTGGGCAGTTGCCGATGCTGAGGCGGCAGATCCGCGGTCGAGGTCCCCATCAGCCCGGGTCCCTGGAGCTGGGTTAGATCGTTGACTCTGTAGCTGTTCGAGTTCGTATCCTCACCCACCAGTGCTGGGCTGCGCTGGAGACACAGCAGTGATGGAGGCAGGCCTGGGCCCTGCCCTAGGGGACTCCCAGTCCAGGCGGGGGTCAGCCCAGGGTGGTCAGGGCTAAGTGTACCACAGGGACATTCCCAGAGGAAATGCCCGACTGGGCCTGCAGGTCAGGGAGAGTGTCCCGGAGAGGGAGACCTGGGGACATGGCAGCCGAGACTCAGTTCTGGCAGAAGGAATGGCAGGTAGATGCCCAGAAAGGGGAGCACTGCAGAGGCCAGAGTACATGGGGAGGGGAGAGGGCAGGAGGGGGCGGTGGGGAACCGGGGGAGGGTGCCGTGCCCAGGAGGGACCTGGCCGCATCAGGACCCTTGGCTGCATGTGGAGGAAAGGTGGTTGAGGGCGGGAGTGGTGGTCAGGGAGGCCAGGAACGGGGGCCCAAGGGGTCTGGTTCCCCTCTGCTACCCCCACCCGGGAGTCCGGGCAGGGCGCTGGGCCCTCTGCGGTCCTGCTCCCCACAGTCCACCTCCTCCGGCCCCTGCAGATGACAGCCTGGGCTCACTCGACCTGGACCAGCGGACTCACTTCCCCCAGTTCTCCTACTCGGCCAGCATCCGAGAGTGAGCGGTGATGCCCACACGCCCGCTGCCACGACCACGGGACACTCATGGCTGCCATCACCGCCCGGGGGGACTTGTCCTTTTTTTTTAACTGTTTATTTTGCCTTTTTTGTTTGCATCTCCTTCCTGCATCCCCACAACCCCATTTCCAGTTTTTTCCTTCAGTTCTCTGCCAGACCCCCCTCAGCGGGCCCGGCGGCCCTGCCTCCGGAGTCCTGGCCTGCTGCTGCCTCTGTGGCCAGATCAGGACTGGGGAGGCTCCCTGGCTTGCCCCAGGGAGTTGGGGAGATTTTGGTTTTTAACCAACAAGCCCCAGTGGGGAGCAGAGGTGGAGTCGGGGGCCTGCCTGCATTTTTAGCCAGGTGCCCATAGCTGCCTGCCCCTGCACTGTGCCACCCCTGGAGACTGCACGGCACCGGGGGTTTCTTCTCTGCCTGTCACCAGGCTCCAAGTGGCCTGGCAAGGGGACAGTCCAGCCCCCTCCCTCACACAGGGGCAGAAAAGCAATAATGTTCAGGGCCAGGCAGGGCCTGCGGGAGCTGCGGGAGCAGAGGTCTAGAGCTCCCTCTCGAGGCTGGGGTCAGTCACCTGGTGGGGAACCTGGAGGGGCCCAGGGACGGGCACTGCCTCCCTGTGCCCCACGCTGCTCTCCTGACCCTGTGGGTGAGGCAGGAGGAACGTTTTGGGGGCTGGCCTCCCTGCCCCCCAGCCTGGTGCCTTACCAGGGCTTCCTTCCGGCTGGCCATACCACCCACTGGGCGCTGGGCCCTGGGCCTCGCCCCTGTCCCTCCCAGGGTGGGGCTGGGGTTGCCCCTTCTCTCTGCCTGGGGCTGAGGGGCCCAGCCTTGGCTGTTACAAGTCTCGCACCGAGACAGTGTTGGGCCCCGAGGACTTGGGTTGAGGAGGGGGCGAGGATGGGTGTCTGGTACATACTGGGGTGGGGACCTCCGCGAAGAGAGGCTTCAGGCCACCTCCCCCTCCCCCAGCCCCATGTTCTGCAGCCTTAAGGTGAGTGTGTCAGTGCTGTGGGCACTTGCGTGCATGTGTGCCTTGGACTGTGTGTGGGCGTCCTTGTGCCCAGGGTGTGTGTTGTGTATGTGCGTGTGTTGGGTATGCGTGTGTGGGGGCATGTCCAGGCTTCGTGTGTGTGGTGTGTGCGTGGTGTGTGTGGTGTGTGTGGTGTGTGTGTTGTGTGTGGGCTTAGGCCCCTGGCCCTGACCCCAGCCTTTCATCCCCGGGGGAGGGGTGCTGGCCTGGCCAGGGAGCCACACCTGAGGCCCACGTGCTGCCCTGCTCCCCCGCCCTTCCCACCAACACCTCTGGGTATTTGGAATGTAGTTTTTGTGGGTTTGATAGCCCCACCCCCTCCTGTAGGTAGTTTAGAGAGAGACGGCTGGGTGGGGTGGGGTGGGGTTGGGGAGGGTGGGAGGTCTCTTCCTTTTTGTGTGTGTATGTCATTTATCTGATAGTTCTCTTCCCCACCGGCCCTTCCCCATTCCTCATATTTGTACGGTACAAGCAATAAAGACTCGTTTCAGACCAGGCCCACCACCCAGGGCCTTTCCTTGCTTATGGAGTCCAGCCCCAGGTACAGGTACCCGCTGCCTCCTGGCCCCGTTGCTCCGTTAGGCAGGGCCTTTCAAGTCGTTGGGGCCGAGAAGCCTTCTTAGGTGGAGGTGTTGTCAAGCTCAGGCTAGAGAAGGGGCTGCCTGGGGGTGGAGGCTGCTGAAAAGTTTGGGAAACCCTCCGAGCCTAGGGGTGGGGTATAGGGGACAGAGACCATCCCAGGCCCTCAGAAGCTGCTTAGGTGAAGAGGTGGGTGGAGGGTCAGGGGCGGCGGGGCTGGGTGGCTCTGAACAAGGCGGGTGTGTAAGGGCCAGCACGGTCGTTGTCCATGGTGCTTGAGCCCTAGAGCAGGCATTGCTTGCCCCCCACCCCCCACCCACCTGTTTACGAGAAGTTGGGGAGTGCCCCCGTCCCCATACAGATTCCTTGGTGTGTCACTGGGATTTGTGGCTGTCAGCTGGGAACACCTCGGGTTGGGTCACAGCCCTTACAGCTCTGGGAGTCCTCTGGTGGGCTCTTCCCGTGCTTGCATTACTCCTCCCAGACCTTGGAACCAGGGCTGCTGCTGCTGCAGACAGTGGATTTAATGCCTGGGTTTGCCAGACGCTAAGGCTTCCTACACATGGAGTTTTTGAGGTCTTCAGTGATGGTAGCAGAAAAGTGGAATTCAGTTTGTAAATACCTTGTTACCTGCAGCCAAGACTTAAAGAATTCTTCTGATTTTTCCCCTAAGTTCATATGGACATTATTATTTTCCAATTACAAAAGTAGGTTCTGGTTGTAATCAGAAAAACAGCAGAGAGACCTGTAAAGGAAAGCCTTTTGCTCTCACCTGTAGTCACAGCCCGCGGTGACTGGTGCTAGAGAAGGGCTCTCCGCACGGTCACCTGCCCTGCCGGCTCTGCCCCCGCGGCCGCATTCCTGATGGGCTTCCCCGTCGAACACCATGTAGTTGCAGTGGTGATTCTTATTTCTGTTGAACTTTTCCCAGAGTTTTAGGTGGAAGAATTTTAATAAATTTTGCCAATTAAAAAAATTTTGAGTAATCTGGTTTTTGTCATGTGAATGTGGAAAATGTCACAAGGGGGGAGAGAGAGAGAGAGTGTGTGTGTGTGTGTGTGTGTGTGTGTGTGTGTGTGTAAAAAGAGTAATGCAAGCAAAAACGCTGAAGAAAGTAAAAATCGCCCAGCACCCAGGCCAGGGGCACTGATTTTGGCACTCACGTTACTGCTCCGCAGATGGACGGGGCATCGTGAGGAGGCCGGTCCCTCCTTCCACGCAGCTCTTCCCTCCCACGTAGTCGTGCCAGGTGCCCAGGTGCCCCGCCGCCATGTCTTACCCACACTGCTGCCACTGTGCGTGCTTTCAGAAGGTGTGCGCACTCACTGCTAGAAAAGACCCTTCAGCCGCTGGGTTGTGGGGAACGCCGCGTGGGCACTGCTGTCGTGCTTTCCAGCTGCTTCATAAGGTTCCTTGGGGTGGACGCACCTCAGCAGGTCAGCTCCTCCCATTGATAAGAACTGACTTTGTTGCCAGAGTTTTGTGTGCTTTCCGTTGCGGCGGACAGTCCTGCAGTCAGCGTTAATGGTCCATCTTCACTGCATGTGTGCTTCTGTGGCCTGTGTTCCAGGGTTGCTGAAGTTTAATACATATTGGATAGCTCTCCAACCAAGTGCGGGTCACATATTTTTCACTCGAATTGGAAATCATTGCAGACTGGTAGAAAAGTTTGAAACTTAAAAATAGTACATAAATGATCCTAGGACTGGAGCAGGAAATAGGCAGGATGAGCCTGGAGCATCTGGTTGTCCCCAATGGTAAAGACCTGCTTTAAAAAAAGAAAGAAAAAACCTTACTAATGGCAAGTAAAGGGAGACAGGAGTCAATGGGAAGAGCTGCTAGTGGCCAAAGCTGAATGCAGTGTGAGCACCAAAGTAAATAGTATAGTGTTGGCTGTACTACACAAAGGGGAAAATGAGTCCATACTGACAGGTGGGGGGGGGGGGCAGACGTCTGTGCAGAAGTCCAGATGCTTTCTGTAAATTCTGTTGTCTCCAAGGAGGGGAGCGTATGCCCACTCTTCAGGTGTGGGCTGCAAAGTGACTTCCTTCCAAAGAGCACAGTATATAACAGGCAAAGCCTGCAGACTTCAGCTGGTGATCAAGGTTGCAGTCAGCACTGATGATCACGGTGGTGGTGCGTGTCTGACTCAGTGCAGTTACAATGGCACTTGATCCCTGTGGCCTTCCTCCCCAGAACATCCCCCCAATCAAAGAACAGACATCAGGCAAACCCCAGCTGAAGGATGTTCTACGAAGTACTGGACCGCACATTCTCAAAGCTGTCAAGGTTGCTCAAAACCAGAAAAGCCTGAGAAACCATTAGAGCCAGGAGGGGCCTTAGGAGACGAGAAGGCTAAGTGTGTCCTGAATGGGGTCCTGGGTTAAAGAAGGGGCGTCGGGTAAAAAGGAAATCTGAATAAAGCACGGACTTGAATGATGTATTTCCTTGGGCTCATTAAACCGACGAGTCCTCTGGCCACGCTAGTGTGTAAGAGGCTAGTGGGGGAAATTGGGTGGGTGGTACATGAGCCCTCTGTCCCATCTGCCACTTTTCACAAATCTACACTTTTATTTTAAAAAGCACAAATAGTTCTCGTCCCCCCTTCAGGTGTGTTCCCCGTGATGTTCTACACTTTATCCCCGCCCCTCTCCATGTCTGTCTGTCGGTGCCGTAATGAGAACAGTCTCTTCCTGAACCACAGCCCAGTGATCAGGGTCGGGAGGTTAGCACCGAAACCATCAGATCGTCTGCTCTTCTCAGATTTCATGATGGTCACAGCAGCGTCCTTGGGTACAAAAGGAAAACCTTCCTGGCTAGCCATTCAGCCCAGGCTCACACTGCTGAGTTCAGCTGTCAGGGTTGAAGCTTACAGGGCAGTTATTTTGCAGAATGCCCCACGGTTAGGAATTGTCTGATGTTTCCTCGTGGCTACAGTCAAGCTGTTTTCGGCACAAATTCCCAGAAATGAAGCGCCCTCAGTGCAACTTACCAGGAGGTCCCCAAACATCCCCGTGGCGGTGGTGACTGACCCCGTGGTTGCGGTGGTGTCTATCCGGTCTCCACCACGAAGCTACCACGTCGACCTCTTTGGCGTTGGGATCTTGAGTACAGGTGCTCAGAAAAGGTAAATATCCAGGTTCTCACCAAGTGTTCGTGCGAGGGGACAGCAAGTGCAAAGGCCCCGAGCCAGACGGGTGCCGGAGGGGCTTAGGGATGATGAAGAGGACAAGGTGTCTCGAGGGGAAGGAGAGCGGGGGAGAGAGGAAGGAAGTGAGGTTAGAGGGGTAACAGTGGGTCAAAGGGGCCTTGTGGTCGGGAGTTTGGTTTTACCGTAAGTGTGACAGGAAGCCACTGGTGCAGCATCTCACACTCTGCTCACTTCGCCAGCCTCGCTGACCTCTCAGAGCCTGAAAATAGCGAGCTCTTTCCTGCTTCAGGGCCTCCGCTCAGCCTGTTCCCGTCACTTGGGATATTCTCCCCCGTCTTTGCTTTCCTGCCTCCTTCTCCTCTTTCAGGTTTCAGCCCCAGTATCACCTCTGAGATGTCCTTTGAGACCACTATTTCTAAATTACAAAACCAGCCTTTCACTCATTCATTCAAGTGTTGACTGAGCACTACGTGCCCAGCCCCGTTCTAGGCACTGGGGAGACAGCGACGAAAAACGGGCAGACAAGCCCTGCCCTCACGGGGTTGGCATTCCGGTCAGGAGAGAGAGGACAGGCAGTGGCGGACCAAGGACAGTAAGTATGGAGCGGGACAGGAAGTGCTCAGGACGACACGTCTCACGGGGAGGGCGGTATCTGAGTAAGCGCCTCGACGGGAGGGACATCTGAGGAACATGTCAGGCCCTGGGGTAGGAACGTGCCTGGTGTGGGTGAGGGAGAGTCAGGGGGCCAGTGTGGTGAGAGAGGAAGGAGTGGGGAAGACTGGGGGAGGGGACGGGCCCACAAGTGTGTTTGGGGGGATGGGTCGGGTTGGGAAGATAATACACGTCCTTGTGGACTTGCACTTTGAGGGGGAATGGCAGCCGCGACGGAGTTCTGAGCAGAGGCCAAGGGCGATCTCACTCACCAGGTGTGCACAGGATCCCTCCTGGGAGTATGTGGGGAACAGACAGCAGGGCAGGGGTCCTCCGGGTAGGGGTCCCCGGTCCCCGGCCCAGGCCGCAGACCGGTTCGGGTTAGGGGGCCTGTTAGGAGTCGGGCGCAGAGCGGGACCTGAGCGGCGGGCAAGCGAGCAGCTTCGCTCCCGTTAGCGCCTGAGCTCCGCCTCCTGTCCCCAACTCCGTGTCCCGGACCGTGGAAAAACTGTCTTCCAGGAAACCGGTCCCTGCTGCCCCCCAAAAAGGCTGGGGACCACTGCCGTAGGGGATGGGAACGGGGACCGGTGAGGAGCCGCCGCACTCCAGACCCGCGCAGGCGCTGGTGACTGGTCCGCATCACCGGCCAGCTCTGGGCCTACAGGCAGCAGCCACAGGGCATTTGCTCACCCCAAATTCCCACCGCACAGAACACAGAGGCCTTTGAGTTACAAAGTGACTTGTAGCTTCTACGTCCTGAGCTTAGACTGTGTTAAGTCCTGTGCTAGACACTGAAACACGATCTTGTCAAATCCTCAGGACAGCTCTATCAGGTAGGTTTTGAAATAAACTCGCACTCCACAGCTGAGGGACGCGAAGCTCCGAGGGGCTGCTTCTACTCCTATAGTAAGTAGCGGGACGAGGGGTTGACTCCAGCTGCCTGACCTGAGAGTCTGGACCGGGCAGAGCCGGCCTGTGTAGTATCCGCATTGCCGGCGCACCTGTCCGTCTGCCCAGGTGAGTCGTGCTCAGCGCGCGCGCACCCAGGCTCATTTAAAGCGCCGTTCGCGGATCCTGGCTCCAACGGGAAGAGGTGGGCTCTCGGTTTCGCACCCCCAGCGCCAGCCTGAAGGATGCTGGTGAGCTGCAGCGGAGCGGGTCTCACTCTCGGCTCCTCCAGGGTCTGACCCCGGCTCCTCTCCCCAGCAGATTCCGGCAGCCTCCCTTGACTCAGAGCCTGCGAGTGGCCCAGTCCCCGACGACGTCCCGGCGGGCAAGACCACCTCCCCAAGACGCCTGGAGAGGCCCCCGGTGCCGTGCGTGCCGCTGGGGCTGGAGGAGGCGCTGAGCGCCCTGGGGCTGCATGGGGAACGGGAGTACGCCGGGGACATCTTTGCCGAAGTCATGGTGAGCCCCGCCCCCCGCCCCCGGAGAGACACCCTGAGGGTAGCAGAGGGGTCAAGTTGGCTGAGGCCAGGGCTGCCCCGTTCGCCCAGCACCAGCCCAACGGGCCTTTGGGAACTCCTTCCCCGTCGGCCTCAGCACCGCCCCAAGTTTGTGGGTTCGTTTTTCCTGCACGTTCCTGGAATGCCCTTTCCCACCCTCCTAGGCTGCTTGCAACTCCTCCTTTGGCATTTCAGAGACCCTCGTACTTGTCTCTCTCATCTGTTCATTTAACAAATACTTAGTGATTTATCAACAATGATCCCAACCCCACCCCCGCCGTCCTCCCTGCACCTTAAAAGGTTATAGAGTGTCAAATAAACTTAAACGTTTTTGAGCATGCCCTAGGCGTTGGGGATGCTGTGGTGAACAACACAGTCAGTCTGAATTCATTGTGTGGAAGACAAGCAAGCAAATGCAGCTGATAACTTCAGAAGGGCCATAAAGACCAAAACGGGCGGTGGGAGTCCTCAGACATCTGTCTGAGACAGGTGCTGTCGGAAGAAACACTCAAGGGATGAATTTACTTAACACACATCTTGTGAACATCTCTCCTGCGCCAGGGTCTCTGTTAGGAACTGAGATACAGCTGGGATTTGGACAGAAATCCCTGCCCTTCTGGTGCCAGCAGACTAGTGGGTCAAACAGACAAAATACCCAAGGAAACGAGAGCTATCTCCAGCCCGGAAACACTTTGAGGGATAGGGAGGAGTATGGAAAAAGTGCGGGGAATTTTAGCAGAGACTTGAATGACTGAGAAGTCAACAATTCAAGGAGCTGGGGAGGGGCCCTTTCAGGTGCAAGGAACAGTGCATATATGAATGTATGCACTGAGACAGGGATAAGCTTGGCATAGCCTAGGGCCCAACAAAGGCTGAGGCCGCTGGAGTTTGGGGAGAGGGAGAAGGTGATGTTGGAGCAGAGGCAGGGCCTAAGAGAGTCTAAGAGGAACCAGATTTTCTCCTGAGGGTACTGGAAGCCCCGGAAGTGTTTTAAGCTGGGGAGTTCCTTGGTCGGGTTTGTATTTTAGAGAGACCCTTCAGGGTGCTCTGAGGAGGATGAACTGAGGAATGGTGGGATCCAAGGGGGAGATGCTCAGGAGGCCCTGTGGCCACAGGGGCTGCAGGGTGGAGAGGTGGATAGGGAAACATCCAGAAGAGAGGAGTCTTGGGATCTAGATGGTCACACTAAGGCCAGTTTGGGTGTGGCATCGTGCCTCCTCCCACTGGGGCGACGAGGCTGCCTCACCCAGGGCTGGAGTTAAGGAGAGAGGCTGATGCACAGGTGTGGAGAATGAGGCACTCCCTACCTAACCCCAGGTGTGCCGTGTGCTGCCCCAGAGGGCCCTGCCCCGCACTGTGACCCCGGAGATGCGCGCGCTAGTGGTGGACTGGCTGGTCCAGGTGCACGTACGTACGTACCGGGGGAATGGGGCGGGGCTGGGCGTGCATCGCAGCCTGGTTGTCACTCGCACCCCTCCCTAGGAGTACCTGGGTCTGGCGGGGGACACGCTGTACCTGGCAGTGCACCTGCTCGATTCCTACCTGCGGTCGGGCGGGGTGCGCCTCCACCGCCTCCAGTTGCTGGGCGTGGCTTGCCTGTTCCTAGCTTGCAAAATGGAAGAGTGCGTGCTTCCCGAGGTACTTCCGGGGCGGGGCTGGGAGGGTGGAGCCCTTTCTTCGCGTTGCAGTCACGTGTTAAACGCCTAATTTGTGCCAAGCATCGCGCCTGGCAAACACTTCATGTCTTCTTGGAATCCCAGCAGATCCGATGAGATCGGGGCTGCCAGTGTGGCCCTTTAACATTGAAGAAGACTTAGGCCCAGGGAGAGGAAGACATCTGCCCCAAGTCAAGCAGTTGGGACTTGGACTCAGTCTTAATATAGTTACAGTGGTTATAGTTCTTATTGAGAAGTTACAGTTAACATGGGTAAACTCAGTGCATTTGCAGAACTGCCTAGTGAAGTAGGAGCAATATCTCCATTTTACAGATAAAGAAACTGGGTCTCAGAGCACTTCCGTGAAGGTCCACGTCACACAGTGCCAAGTGCTAGGGGTTCCGACTCTGAAGTCTGAACTCTCCACGACTTTCAGACAACAAATCAACGGCCCCACTCACAGGACAGAAAACTGAGGTCCAGGACGGGGACAGAACTGAACCCAAGGCAGGGGATAACAGCCAGAGTCCAAGACTCCCCCCACCTCTTTTTCCCAAATCCGCAGCCCGCCTCCCTCTGCCTCCTGGGTGCTGGCTCCTTCTCCCAGGTCCAGCTTCTCCGAGCTGAGCGCCGCATTCTGAGCCGCTTGGATTTTCGGCTGTACCACCCAGGTCCGCTTCTCTGCCTGGAGCTACTGGGTGCGCTGGCAGGGAGCAACCCCCAGGTGAGGTGTGGGGCAGGGGGAGCAGGGGCGTGGCTTGTGCGGTTAGGGTAGTGATCTGTGCGGTATAGAGATGTGGCCGATGGCCACCCCCATGTTTGGCAGGTGATGCTACTTGCTACCTACTTCCTGGAGCTGTCTCTGCTGGAGGCTGAGGCAGCTGGATGGGGGCCTGGTCGCTGCGCAGCTGCTGCACTGAGCCTGGCGCGCCGTTTGCTCCATGGGGCGGGCTCTGGACCGGAGCCGGTGCTTTACAGGTACGGCCACAGGGGAGGGCGATGGCTTCAGGATCCGCCTTCCTGGAAGTTGTCTTTACTGTCTCAGAGAGTGAGAAACAATGCGGGTGGGGGTGGGGGAGCAGGGAGGGAACACAACGGACACCTAGACTCGATTTTTCTGGGCGTGGGAGAGAATGGGGTTTATGCCTAGCTGGAGGGGGTCCCATGTGCTTTTCTCTGAAAGTGGCTGAGAGAGTGGGGTGTCTGCCCAGATTTGGGGACCCTTAATCTTCTTCAGGGTGGAAGACAGGATCTCCCCAGGCCCGGAAGGTGCTCTGACTGCGTTCCAGGGTTGAGAATGAGAGGTCTGCTAGGCTAGCATTCCCAGCTTCCCTCTAACCATGAATGGGATGCCGCCCCCTTGGCCGTTAGAATGCCCACTTCCTTGTTAACCAGGCTACCAAGGAGCAGGGTGAATTGTCTTTGGTCGCAGCCCGTGCCCACGGGGTAGAGTTGGATTCCTGCTCTCCTCAGCCCCATTCCTTTCCTCCTCGAGAGCTCTGGCTCTCCCTAACCGCGCTCTGCAGAGAGAATTGGGAGTCTACCTGTCTCCGACCCCCTCCAGCCACTCTGGATGGTGGGTCGCGTGCCCGACCTACTACCCTCCAGGCGGTTTCCAGGGACTCAAGTCAATGTCTCTACTCGACCTCGAGCCCCCAGCTCCAAGTACGGGTCCTCTCCGCCGCTACCCCTTGCATCCACCTTAGTTTCCCCGCCTCCCCGCCGCAGCCCCTCGGAGCTGGGCCCGCTGGAGCTATGCATGGTCTGCGCCGCGCTCCGAGGTCCCGCGCCTGGCTGTGCCGCCATTTTCCTCAAGTACGCTCGGCCTCAACGTCAGGGCACCAGCCTCGCCGCCGCCCGCCTGCTCCGCTGCCCCCAGCCCGAGCTGTCCTGAGCCCGGAGACCCCATCAAAAAAGACTCCGTGTGTTACGTCCGTCTCCCACTTCAATAAAAGAGTTTCTTTTATTCCGAGCGCTCTTTGTCCTCATTGGTCGAATTACAGTCCCACTCTCGCTTTTTATTGGTTACTTTCTGGTCATCCTTCTGATTGGATGCTTTTACCAAGTCCCTTAACATTGCAAACTACGGGCTCCTCCGCTAGGGGGTACTGGCTGGCTCCCGCAAGCGCGGCTCTGCCGGGTTAAATCCGGACGCCAAGCGCAAACACTTGGGGGAGATAGATGGGCAGAAGCTGACAGAAAAATCGCAATGCAATTGGCCCTCACTTTCAGGGCTGGGAAGAATCTGGGAGGAATGGGGACTGTGGGAAACTGAGAATGTCTACTTCAGTCATGAAGGCAACTCCGATGTTGCCAGATATTCAGATTTTGTTCAGGTGACCCCAAAAACCTGCAATTCCATACATATCTCTGCTTCCACATGTTGGCAACTAATTCAATATTTTTTAGTGGTTGCACAAGCCCAACGTATCACATATTCTGGCCTGCATCAGTGTGTGACATTATGGTTCTTTGATAGCAAGAGTTTGATAAATGAGATATGATTTATTTAATCTCATTGCATTGTAATAAAGTTGTAAATTAATAGATTCACGACGCTTTAGGACATGGCCTGACACGTAGTAGGTGTTTCGAAAGTGATATCATTGCATCCTAGCAGGACTGTGAGTTAGGGACAGTGTTCCATCTTTCTACTGAGTCCCTGGCACTTAGCCACTTAGTAGGTGCTCAGAAAATTTTTTAATGAATTAATAACTCTCCATGTTTTGAAAAAAGATTTTACTTATTTTTAGACGGAGGGGAGGGAAGGAGAAAGGGAAAGAAACATCAATTTGTGGTTGCCACTCGAGCGCCCCCTACTGGGGACCTGGTCCGTAACCCAGGCATGTGCCCCGACTGGTAAAGGAACGACCAATTCTTTGCCTTAGCAGCTGAGCCACACCAGCCAGGATGAATCTCCACATTTTTAACCAAAATAAAACACACCTGAGATGCAGAAAGGTGACCTGGCTGCTCTGGAATTCATCTTCAGGAATACTAGATTCTTAACCAAGCCAGGGTTTGGATGTGCAGGGAGGAATTTCTGCCCTAAGATGTTCAAGGTTGTAGGACCAGGGATGGGGAGAGCCTCCCTCAGCAAAGTACAATAAGAGCTAAGGTCAGATACTGCTACTGGAACAGAAGGTGCCCTGTTCAGGATTGGGACTGTCAGGTGGGGCCTACCATGGCACCTCCTTGGTTCTTGGGGCTAAGAACCAAGCTAGGGTCTTGTGGGGGTAGGGGTGGTAATATATAAAGTGATTCATTCGTTCACTCATTCAACAATCATACAGTATAGGGATGCTGACTCGGAACTCAGCACTATGATCACCTCTCTCACAGTCTCAATGATGATAAGAAACACGGGTTGTTAATTGCCCAGCATGTACCAGGCCCTGTACTAAGTTCTTTTTTATTTTTAAGATTTTGTTTATTTTTAGAGAGAGGGGAAGGGAAGGAGAAAGACAGGGAGAGAAACATCAATGTGTGGTTGTCTTCCACACCCCCTTGCTGGCGACCTGGTCCACAACCCAGGCATATGCCCTGACTGGAAATAGAACCGGTGACCCTTTGGTTTGCAGGCCAGTGCTCAATACACTGAGCCACACTGGCCAGGGCTCTGTGCTAAGTTCTTTATCTGCAGAAGATAATTCAGCCCCTACAACTACTCTGAAATAAGCTCACTTGTTATTCCCATATTACACAGAAGGCAGGCAAGATGGGGGCAGATCAAGGAGCTTGCCCAAGGTTCCACTGCTAAGTAACTAGCTAAGAAGGGTCGAAAGACAGCCACCTCCTTCAGCCTCATTTCCCCCAAAGCCTCTCACGTGTGTTCTTTTCTGTATACTCTTATGATTGCGCGGCTCACTCTGCGCTGTCATATGCCTGCAATCCCACTGGTTTCCTACTCAGACAGTGAGCTCAATGAGGGCAAGAAGTAGGTCTCTTATTCCAAGAGTTATCCCCTCCTCCAGGAAGCCTTCACTCACCACTATAGTCTAGGGAAGGTGCCTCCTCTGGGCCCTCAGAGCCTGTTGTGTGTCCTCCATCCCAGGCTTGACCTCTCCGCCTGAGCCTTGCCCTGACCACTTTGCCTGAGCTTCCCAGGTTAGCCCACTCTGGGCTGTCACTGGGTACTAATCTGTCTCCTCACTGGACTAGGGGCTCCATGAGGGTAGGGCCCAAGGCTCACTCACTCCCTGCTGTGTCCCGGCATCCCCAAAGCTGGGTGCAGAAAATATATCAGCGAATATTTATTGCATAGATAAACAAATGAGTTTCAAAGTTGCTATCATTGTCCCTTCCATTTTACTGAGGAGGATACAGGTAATTTAGCTGAGAAAGAAAAGCAGGGACTTGAATCTGGGCAGCTTGAGTCCATAGCCTGTGTCCTTAGCCAACATGCCAAATGCCTAGTGAGCTGAAAACCAGCTTTCCACGAGGTTGAACTCTCTGTGCTCTTTTCTCCAGTCTTGTCCTTTCCTTCTAGAAAGATTTGGGAGCTTTGGGCACGAGGGAGGAGAGCAGGCAGGAGGGTGTGGGGAGTAAGATCAGTGGGGAGAAGGAAGAGGTGGGCTGGAGGACGAGGGTGGGGGCTGATGTGAAGGAGAGAGTGGGGAAGTCTTGAGGGGTTTCTCTAGACCCATAGGGGGCAGCCGGAGCCTGCTGCTGGAGGTGCGGGGGTGGAGAAAGGGTGGGGGACCGGCCCCGCGGGGGGCGATGCGGTAGCTGCAGCAGCGGCCGCAGGAGTTTCCCACAATGCAGCGCGGTGCGCTGTCCCCGGTGCTGATGCTCAGCGCTGCCCCGGAGCCTCCGCCGCGCCCGCCTCCCGCCCTCTCCCCGCCGGGCCCGGGCCCCCGCCATGGGTCAGCTCGGCCCGGTCCTGCCGCAGAGCCGTCGGCGGGCCTGGGCGCGGCGCTCGACAGCAGCCTGCGGGCTGCCGTGGCGTTCAAGGCTGAGGGCCAGCGCTGTTACCGAGAGAAGAAGTTCCGGGAAGCCATCGGCAAGTATCACCGGGCACTGCTGCAACTGAAGGCGGCGCAGGGGGCCCGCCCTGGAGGCCTGCCCGCCCCCGCCTCGGGGCCCGCCACCAGCCCGGGGCCGGCCCGCCTCAGCGAGGAGCAGCAGCGACTGGTGGAGAACACGGAGGTGGAATGTTATGACTGCCTCACGGGTACGCGGCCATCGGGGGCGCAGGGGGGTGTATATATGACAAGGGAGGGGAGTGAGGGGCCACCACGAAGCCTTGGGCAGGGTCGGGGCGAGAGGCTTGAAGGGGCCAGGGCTGGGTCTGTTGAAGGAGACATCAGAACTTATCAAGGAGAGGGGTTGGGGATTTAGGAGGCCGCAGGGATGGAAGGGGCTGGGGCGCAGAAAATGGGCTTTGGGCTGCCACCTGGGAACCTCAGGTAAGAGAGACTTACCCTGGAAGAACCATTTAAAGCCCCATTCATCACCTGAGATCGCCCTTAGTAGTATTCCCCGCGCCCCCGCCCTCCCCACTGAAATCGCCCCAGAGCTTGTGTCTGGGTTTCTCGCGCCCTCTAGCGGAGGCGCATGTCGACTCTATCCTGATTGGTCAGAAGCTCGGGAGTTCCTGGTGGCCTAAATGAGCCCTTAGTCCCCTCTCCCGTGGGAAAGGGCGGGGATTCCCCGCAGCCCGAAGGCCATGCTCCTGGCGGTCAGTGAAGTCTGGGGTGGGGCGCAGGCTCTGAGAGCACGGGTCGCGGTGCCCCCGCAGCCTGCCTGTTGCAGTCGGAGCTGGTGAACTATGAGCGGGTGCGCGAGTACTGCCTCAAGGTGCTGGAGAAGCAACAGGGGAACTTCAAGGCCACCTACCGGGCTGGTATTGCCTTCTACCACCTGGGCGACTATGCTCGCGCCTTGCGCTATCTGCAGGAGGCCCGAAGCCGGGAGCCCACAGGTGAGGGGAGGGGCGGGGCGGAGCTAGGAGAGGCGCTAGGACAGAGGAAGCAAGGGCAGGAAGGCCAGGGCTGAACTACCTCAAGGGGGTGCTGCTCTACCCACCCACCTTCCGCCTCTCCACCTACTCCTACGCGGCCACTCACCCGTTCTTCCACGCATCACCCTTTCATTCTGAGGCTTCCCATCCAGCCGATTCCGACGACCTACTCCCCCCCACCCCATTCCATCCACTCCCTCCCTCCCTAATGCATTCCCACACTCACCTGTTCATCCACGTGTTCTCCTAGCTACCACTTGCGAACCACTTGCTGGGAGGCAGACCTCAGGCTGGGAAACGGCAGGGAATTTGCTGGGGGCGGGGTTGGTAAGATGGAGGGCGGCAGACCTGGAGAACTGTTCCCTGCCCTCTAGGAGATCAGAGTCAGGGTGCGTGGGTGTGCAGACAGATACAAAACCCAACTCCGTATTAAGAGCCAATGAAAAGGAGCACAGCTGGTGAATGACATGGGGCTGTGGGTGTGGAAGCAAGATGAGTGTTCCAGGTAAATGGTTGGGAGAGAACAGGCCTCATGCAGATGCCACTGGACAACGAGGAGAGTGCGACGGGAGTCTGAACCGAGGCACCCCTGGCAGTGGGCAGGCGTAGCAAGTGCAGCCTGGAGGTGTGACGTGCCCCTCCCCCATTTGGGTTGTGGCTTTCGGAGAAGTGCCCTGGTGATAACCAGGGAGGGAGCCACTGCCCGGGGACAGTGAGGTGTGAGCTGAGGCGCTGCAGATGCCACCTGCTGCCCCCAAACACCCCGGTGAAGCCCTGCCCACCTCCCCCGGGGGTGTCTCCCCTGCAGACACCAACGTCCTTCGATACATCCAGTTGACTCAGCTGAAGATGAGCCGGTGCAGTCTCCAGCGGGAAGACAGTGGGGCCCGGCCTCGGAACATCGTCGGCTGAAGCCCACCCCGGGGACCTGTCCCTCCCCCCGCCCTCCCCCACCTCACCGTGTAACTTCCCTGACTCGTGTGCCTCTGGTAAAGCACTTATCGCTGGTAATCATAACCTCTGTGTGTGATGTTCTTGTGGGAACCAGGAAGGGGACAGGCCCCGGGCTTCGCTCCCTGCACCTCAGAAATCCGGAGGAGTCCGGCGAGGGAGACAGAATGGGGGACACCCCACTGGGGACGAGCCAGGGTCAGGGCCTGGGCCAGGGAAAGACACAGAGCCAAGCGCGGTAGGGGGCAGGGGTTACCTTTAATGCTGCGTTTTGTGCTGAATCCCCCATGTCACCCTGTCCCTGAGTATCCCTGTCCACCCTCCCCAGCTGCAGGGCGAGCACAGGGCCCAACCCCAGGGTACAAAGGAATAAATTAAACGTCCCCCCTCCCCCCTTCCCCAATAAATAGAGTGAGTATCCTGCCCAAGGCCTCCCCTGCCTTGTGGCCTGGTGGGAGGCCTGAGGCGCTACATTCATGGCTGCCCAGGCGGGTGGCGGTGGGCAGGCCTCAGTGGGGGCTGCGGGCCCCGCACAGGGGCACTGTGCTGTCCTGGCTCTGCCCCTCCATGTCCATGTCAAGCAGCGTGGGCTGCACGCTGGGGGGCCCGGGGCTCTCCGGAGTATCCGGCCTGCTAGGAGGCGAGATGCTGAGTGTCCGGCCGAAGGAGACCAGTTTCCAGGGGTCCAGGCGGGGGCGGCTGGCAGCAGGCCGGGGTCTCGGGGCAAAGGTCAGGGTGGTGGGGCGACCAGGAAACTCGGGGGGCCGGCGGCGGGTGGGAAATAGGGCCTGGGGTTCGGGCAGGCGGGGGCAGTCCAGGGGATCTGGAGGGCCTGGTGAGAGAGGATGGACGAGGTGAGTAGGGTGGAGCAGAGGGTGGTGCTGAAAAACCAGGAGCGTGGGCAGGAGGACTGGAGCTTCCGACTCCTGTCAGAAATCTGCATAAGAGGCAACTATACATTGATATTTCTCTCCCTCTCTCCTTCCCTTCACCTCTAAAGATAAGTCAATGAGACCTTTTAAAAAATTCAGTTACAAAAAAAAAAGGCACAGAGAACAGGGGCCTAGTGCAGGTCGGCGCCAGGCCCTGTGGGCTCTGGGGCCTGCCGCCTGCACCGCCTCCACCGCGTCCTGGGTGTCATCACCTGGGGCCCCTCAACCCCTCCGGCAGGGAGGGCCAGGGGGACACAGCCCCTTCCTTTCCCTGCTAAGCAGGAAATGGCTGCCAGGCTGGACACTGGACCTCGGCAGAGAAGAAGGGGCCGTTTTATGCGCACTGGGGCACGGGTTGCCTCACTCACCAAGGCCAGGGACCGCCGACTCCGGTGCCCCCCGCTGCCCCAGCGCCCCGTCCGACGGCGTCCGCCGGTGCCCGTGGCTCACAGCGCGAGTGGCCGTGACGTGGGTGGGCGTCAGCGACTGGCGGGGGTCCTTCTTGAAGCTCTCCAGCTCCAGGTCCACCAGGGGGTTGGTGCTGGGCAAGGGTGCGGGCGGGGAGGGCGGCGGGGAGGGCGCGGCCGGCGCAGCCTCGTCGCTGTCAGAGCGCAGCAGCGAACGCGTGGAGTTGCAGTCGGACACGGAAGACAGAGACACCAGGGTGGCCGAGGGCGCCAGGCCCGGGTCGTCTCGGCGGCCCGGGGAGCGCGCAGTTGGGCTGAGGCCGCGTGGGAAGCGGCCGGCGCGGGGGAAGAAAAGGCCATCGAGCCAGCGCCGCTGTTCCTCCACATCCGCGGCTCGCGCCTCCGCCACATCGGCGCCCAGGCCCACGGCGCCCAGCAGTGTGGCGCAGCCCAGCAGCGCGAATTCGCAGCGCCGCCGGGCACTGAGCCCGTGCCGGGTGCAGGGCCCCGGCACCCCCGGAGAGGGCTCGGCGGGCAGCGGCACCACGAGGCAGGCCGGGGTGCTGTGGGGAGAGGGGGCCCCGCTGCTGCCTCCATCTGCCTCCGCGAACTCCTCTGCAACCGGAGAGGGCCGGCACTCGACTCCGGGCGGTCCCTGGGGGCTTGGTGGCAAGAGACTGCCCCCAATGACCCCTCCAACAGCAAAACCACCAAGTCCACTAAGCACAGCTCCCCCCTAAAGCCCCCTGCCTCTGGGGGTGACGCCCACACCCCCCTTTCTGGGAATGCTTTCTGCCCTCAGCCCAGTGAAATCTGGTTCCCTCCCCACAACCCTGGGGAACGGTAACCCCTTTATCTTGGCTTAGAATCCCCTTCAGTGGGGAATGTCTCCTCCCTTCCCCTTTAAAGCCCCCTCACCCTCTTACCCATCTCATTGAGGCTGGCGAAGCCTGGGGCGATGGGAGTGTGTTTGGGGGACTTGCCCAAGTTGGGGGCGCTCGATGACCACTGTTTGTTTCCTTCCCCCAGAGCCTTCAGCCTGCAGGGGAACAGAGATGCAGGGTGGCCCTGAGCCTTCCGGGCCGGGGGCCTGGGGGTGGGGCACAGGGTGGGCTCCAGCGACCAGTACCTCTCCTCTCCTCCAGCCCGCTCCTTCTGCAGGGTGGAGCTGGGCCCCCACGTCCGGCCTTTCTTCTTGCCCCCAACCAGTTCTTCCTTCTTTGGGGGCCCGCTGCGGCCCCACGTCCCACTGCCGCCACTGCTGCTGCCACTGCTGCTGCCACCACCGCCATCCACGGGAGTCACTGGGCCGAGAGAAGCCACTTGGTTACTGTGCCCAAGAAAGTCTGTCCCTGCTGGACTCTCCCCACCTCGGATTCATCCTCCACCTGGAAGCCCGAACTGAATCATGCCCCTTCTGTGCCCGAAATCCTCCCTCAGCCCCCCAGGACTGTCCAGAGACTGTCCCAGAGCCTCAGCCTGGCATACGAGGTCCTTCTAATGCTATTCCCAGCCGACTTCCTCAGCTTTATTTCCATCCCTCCTCGCAGGCCAACCCTTCAACCATCCGTTCATCCCCAGAGGTTTACTGAGCCCTGTTCTGTGCCAAGCCCTCGGGCAAGTGCTGCGAAGACAGCAGTGGACGAAGCACAGACAATGCCCCACCCGTGGCGTGGGCACCTGAGTGGGCGAAGACAGATGACCAACGAGACCCACACGGGGCGAGTCACCCCTGCAGTGTGACAGGGCGGCACGAGCTGTGGGGAAGACGAAGCAGGAAAGGGGCCTGGCGGCCAGGCCAGGCCTCTCGTGGGCAAGGATGGGGCGGAGAGGGGGTGAGTCAAGCAGATACAAGGGCCCTGGCTGGTGTAGCTCAGTGGATTGAGTGCGGGCCTGCGAACCAGAGGATCTCGGATCGATTACCAGTCAGGGCCCATGCCTGGGTTGCAGGCCAGTTCCCAGTGGGGGACGAGTGAGAGGCAACCATACACTGATGTTTCTCTCCCTCTCTCCTTCCCTTGCCTGTTGTAAACCGCTCTGCCTAATTTTAGGAATTGTATCTCTACTCCTTGTGGCTAAGGGCGAGGGATGACCTTTGGAATGCCAGCCACAGGAGACAAAGCCTGTCTCTGGTAGCAAACGCTGCCTCAGTTCCTCTCCCTGCCCCCAGAGCTTGGTCAGAAGTCAATGACGGGTAAGACCCCTCACAGTGGGGGGCAACCTAAGCCAGACTCGATCACCTGGGAGGCCTTCATGGAAGGACTCAGGGGGCTGCAACAGAGAGCAATGGACTCTCACTCCCCAGCTTTGTCAAAGCCCGAGTCCCCATGTTCTCTGGGAGAAGCACTTCCTGGCTCTAATCCCCTTAAGCCTGAATACTTGTTGGGGAGACATGCAGCTCCTTGCCTGGCCAGAGTATGTCATGGGGAAAAATCTGGCATCACAAAGACTTGCTGATAAACCTGTGAAATCTGCTCTGCTAAGAGTGCTTTCATTCACATGATAAGAGTCCGAGAGGAAATGAGTATGTCTCCCAAAGTTTCTGCAACCCTCTTCCTGACAGACACTGACTCATAGTAAGCCCTCAGATTTCTTTGAAATGTTATCTACTGTCTGATCCTTGCTGCCCTGTATTCCTGTGTATTACAACCCAATAAAAGGTTATGGATGAGGGCACTCCGGGCCTTTTTCTCCTCGGAGAAACTGGCCACAGCCCACTCCTCCACCCCAAGCAGATCCAGCATGTCTCGCCATATTTATTCACTCCCACGTGTCCGTGGCACCAGGGGGACCTGTCGAAAGTAGTCGCCCCCACATCTGGCGCCCGAACAGGGACTGGACTTGGACCTTTTTCAAGCCAGAGGCCTAGAGCCAGGCCACAGACACGCCCGCCTGGACACGCCCTTTAATAAGGTAATAGACGCACGACTCTCATCCTTGGTGGTCACCGGGGACTTAGGAAAGTTGCTCCCACATCTGGTGCCTTCACACCAGAGGCCTTGAGCCACTTTACTGCCAAGGACACACAGCTAAGTGGATGGAAATTCACCCCTCCCCCCGGAGGGTTCAGGGGCATCTGTAAGGCAGGCCCCCAGACGTGTTAGAAAATAGCAAAAGGAGCCCTGGCTGGTGTAGCTCAGTAGATTGAGCGTGGGCCTGCGAACCAGACAATTGCGGTTCAATTCCCAGTCAGGGCACATGCCGGGGTTGCAGGCCAGTTCCCTGCAGGCCAGTTCCCAGCAGGGGACGCACAAAGAGCAACCATACATTGATGTTTCTCTCCCTCTCTCCTTCCCTTCCCCTCTAAAGATAAATAAATAAAGTCTTTAAAAAAATAGCAAAAGGATACTTTTTACCACTTCTTGAATCTCCCCTGCACTCCCCTTCATAATACCCAGGACAGTCCATCTCACATTAACCTTGGGGCTCAGCATGTAAGCGCATATCCAGCGCTCCGAGCCCTCTCAGCTGTATACGTAAACCCCAAACTCAGAAAAGAATTTCTTTGATTGGAAAAGCGCGCGCACCCGGGGCAGTCCCCAGAGGGATCGACTGCGCGGCTCCCTCCTCTTTCCCCTCATCAGCACCGAGAAGCGGGGCTGGGCACCGCCAGCGCCTTCCAGGTGGCGGGTGGGCCGGGAGGGGGGCTATCTCCTCAGGTCAAGCGCCCAGACAATTGGAACTG